ATTATTAAGCAACATGTACTAAACGTAAGAGTTAGGGAAATACTGATATCTAAGTAGTAAGTAAGGTAATTTCTTCTTCATTTCGGGTTTCCCTCCCCCACCATTTCAGACAGGCCGTTAATTAAATCTGTTGATAACTATTTACAGATGTAAAGGGTTAGAGGGGTATTATGCTTAGATGTCTAGCAGGTTGTTAAAAAAGAATATATATATATATAGAGAGAGAGAGAGATGCATATGTTTTATCCAATACAGTCAAAAAGAATTTAATTTGTATCTTTATGCTACGACCTTTTCGTATCTATCATTGTGTTTAAGACTTTTGATGCTTTTCAGAAGATCACGCTCCCTTTTTGCATTTCAGTGTTGCTCTTATTCGTGCCTTAAGTAGCTGAATCTTAGCTCATTTTTTATTAGAGGGGCCATTTCTGTCTTTGACGTAGCGATTAATATAAAAAAATATGACATTAAAACATGTAAACATTTAGAGATAATTATTATAAACTCAGTGTTTTTATAAAAGTAACATATAAATTTTTACATCTTATTCAATAATAATATCTTATTCAAAATTTCTTTTTAAAATCAATAACAAAAATATTATTGTGGTATGAGCTATCTGATAATCTCAGAACTTACGTCTTATATAAGCACGAAAAAACATAAATATTGGTTGATGGAAATCTACGCGCAGTTTATGAAGAAGGTACCCTAGAAAGATTAAAGGATTTTTAGTAGCTTTTGACATCAAACTAATAATACCTCTCTATTCTTCGTTAGTTCTAAGGTATATCTTTTAGCTTGTGTTTTTAGGATATATCTTTAAGTTTGTGTAGAAATATAATATTGTAAATGAAGCCATCTAAGAAAATGGATTATAAACATGATTCTGGATGATGAAGGACTGCACATTTTTTTAACCTATTAAAAACCCTGTGATTTCATTTTAGAGGAATTTATCAGAGAGGAAATTTACACCAGTTGTTTTGCAGACATTAACAGATTAGAGGCATTTCTAGAAGGTAATCACGACGTTCTAGAATGAACATTGTTGCATCTGATTACCATTTGTAAATTGTTCGGATAATTTATTGGAATGTGCGTAAAACTCGATGAATTTATCTCATACACGTTGTGCATTCACATTCTTAATGCTAAATGTTTTTTGGTTATTCAAAATGGGTTACACTTCTTTTTAGACATCTTTCATTTTAGGCTTGCCACAGACCGCGTGAATAAGACCCCTGAACACTAGTAATTCTACTCGAATTCAAATCCCAGCAAACAGGTTTGCTACACGTGTCGTAGTTTCTCTCATGTATAATATGAATATGAGCCAGCTTTCCTTAGAAAGTTCTATACGAATTTATCACTTCCCTTAAGCAGATAGCACTTGTTTACTTAATCAATTCACTTAATGGTGTCTTTGCTGCATGGGGGCACTCTAAATATATGGAGAGCCGAATGTTCTCTCGTGTGGATAGGTGACAGGGGAAGAGGAGTGGGAGATCCTCGGACCCAACCCAGGGGTACTGTCCCTCAAAATTGGGGTTGGAGCTGGACAAAATTGTTCTGTTACCTATATGCTGCCCAAGACGCTTGCCAGTGACAGGCATAAGCTTGTACTCCTTGTCGCGATGGATTTCGTGAGCTTGCTGTGATGTCAGACAAGCGAGATTAGTCCCAACAAACATATTTTCAAATAACAACAAACATATTTGCAAGTAAAATCCAGTTCTTAAGGAAATCAGCTTTACAAACAACTCCGGCTCTTTCTCTGTTTATATGATTTGAAAATAAATTATTTGTAAACTATTATGTTTCAAAATTAATTCCTAGAATTAATTTAACTTTGTGCATCGCTTTCATCAGTTTTATCGGTCAACCTTATACAGTTTCAATTTGCAGAGTGTTTTCATAATTTATTCTCCAATTAATTTATATAGCATTGTATGTAAAAACCACATTCCAGTTTGGTGCATATTTTCATCAGAATGTGATTTTATATTGTAACTTTCAGTTCACAGAATGTTTCAAAATTTTGCTTTGCAATATAACTGCTTCTATAATGTATAAAATTTTCTAATTTAGCGTAGCTTAATTTTTTTATCTCTTTTATCAGCTTTGAAATAGAGCCAATTTTTGATTACACGTCGCACTCGAGTATGCGCTAAAAGCAGAAATCTTTTCATAAGGTTGCATTCATTTGAAACAGAATCCAATTGTTCGTAAATTCATCCACTTAACTTCTGATGACATTACAATTCCGATCGCTATAACAAATTTTTACTTGTTCTTTTCCATATTGGAATTAAATTGCTGGTTACTATTCTGCTTCATTTCAAGATTACTCATAATAATAAAGCTTTTGTATTCAACAAATTGTACACTTGAGTAGGAAGCCCAATAAAGAATTTCATAGTAAAATTATCTTGGAGGGGAAAAAATGTCAGTTCTTTTAAATGAACACTTTTTTTTTTGCGCTGTATCCATCTGCTAATGAAGAACTGGAGCAAAAGACTGATATTCCAATATTATATAATAGATTTAATCTCATTCGATGTTAAACTTCTTTTAGAAAACTTTTGATCCATTCGTAAAGTTCTAAATGAAAAGGTCATCATATGGTTGATCAGTGCGTATAACCTTCTTTCAATTAATAGATTGGGGGTTTTTTGTAGTTCTTTTTTTTTATTTTATTTTTTAAAAATACTTTTTTTCCTTGCAGATAAGCTTGCTTGAATGGAAAATGAATTGTTACAATAAATGATTAAATGCAGTGCTAATCTTCTTTTGTGTCCCTTTTCAATATGAAAGCAAAAGTAGTCTATAGAGAAACTGATATAATTAGAACGGAAAATTTATTTTTGGTGTTTTAACTGTCACAGAAGTTTTTACCGTTGTTGAAGAAAAGGTTCCCTGCAATTACGTAATTGGGACATATACTTTTTTTTTTTGTTTTTTGTTTTTTTTGTATGAAACGAAGATTCTTGATTTTTTTAATATTGACGATGTCATTAGGAATATGGTTGGCATGTAAAGTGGAAAAGAAGTTCTAATTTTGTAACGAGCGAAGAACGAGAAATGGAATAATTCAAAGTATGCGGAAGGAAAGTTTGTTCATTTAGATTATTGACTATTCAAGGATTATTTATTATACTACGATAAGGCAGATTAGGAGGCTATAAATTACGTAACAGGGAGCATAATAACTTGGTGTAAAAGGCTGTAAGTTAGACTAGACAATAATTAAAGTGGCTTCCGATTCATAAATAGAGCAGATAAGAAAACTCTAATCCAATAATTTATTCACTCAAAATGAATAAATATGTGCAATGTGGTACGTAGCTATAATTAATTACTGTGAATGATACTTTGCTTCGGGAAATTCTATAATAATAGGTATAGTTGAACCCAAAATATCCGAACTAATTGGAACGGATTGATTATTTAGATTACGGCAAAGCATATAAGAGCTATCTGCCCTAGGGAAAGGATGTTTTTGCAAAGAAAGAACAAACCTTCGCCTCGTTTTAAGAGAAATTGGCTCCGAACTAATGGTACCACATCCCATTCGGATATTAAGGAAAGCATACTGTCGATCTATCCTTTACTGACGTTGGAACATTCAGAACTTCGAATCCTGCGAATCGTTAAAAAGATTCGAAATTCTAAATCTTTATCTTTGCAATAATCGTCTTCTCTCCATATTTGTTCTGATTTAAAAACATGCTGGGAAAAAACTGAACTACTCAAATATTATTTTTCAAATTACATTGAGAATATGGACCTTGGGTTTCAAGAGTTTTAATTGTGCACTTCATTTACCATATCTCATTTGTATGTGTTTGATGAATGTAGGTATATTTTTAAAACATGTTTTCTTATATTTGTTTTTCATCGAACGTACGTATAAAATTTTGCTTTCATTGAAAACTTTTAATGTTAAGTAAAAGCCCATTAACATCATCACCATCATCATCATTATATGAAGGATTCGAGAACCTTTTACGATTTGGATTCGAGAAAATTTTGAATTTTTCCACCCCTATTTTTTACTGTAAATGATTTATGTAATGAATAATAAATAATCTGATATAAGGTAGTAACTTTTATTTGTTCATTTTAACACATTTTTAGTTCACCAAACTGCCTTAGGGATGGAGAATTTCAACATAAAATTTAGCTCGAATAAGCATGAAGTGATCATTTAGTGTGGTTTCGTTGGAACTCATTCCAGCTTTATCAAAGTTCTATAGTCATTTCATGCTGTATTAAACCTCCTTCTAATTAGAGCCAGTGAAATGAACGCACATTTACTTCCTGAATAATTGTTTTCTTTCTTAAATAAATGCAAAGCCTCCATGTGGTGTTAACTGATGAAATAATACCATATCAAATTTTTTCTCTAGCGTTTGCCTTTATTTTTTTGCACAGCTTGTGTTATGTACAAGATTTTGCGTTCTGTTTCTTGAATTCCTGACAATTAATGCTTAACCCAAAAGACTTATTATAATTCCTTAGCTTAAGATGTTAAACTGAAATTTGCGTATCAAGATTAGATTCAAATTTCTTTTTGATCTCACGGTCTTCACATTTAAAACCTTTTTAATTTTTTTTGACTTTTTGAAACTTTAAACTCTTAGAAGTGTTAAACTAAAAATCTGAAGTTTTGAGCCTGCAATATTTTCTTAAGCATTTGGAAAAACTGCACTAAAATGTGTTGCATTACGAAGACACTTCTTAAAGACAGCGGAAATCATTATCGGCTGAGATGCACTTCGCACAAAATAAATTTTTTGTACAAAACATGCAATGCAAAAATCTGCAACATCCGTAAGACTCACGAGATCAGATTTCCGCCATAAATATTCATTTCTGCCTCTTCACGCATTTCCTACAAAATCGAAAACTTCCCATCCTTCAATATTATCTGCTGTTTATCAATATTTCCTGCCGATTATATTTTCTTTATCATACTTTTGTTTTATTTTTCCTAGGCGAAGACGAAATGAAGTGTGGAAGAGGACGCCGATGAAAAAATCCTACTCGAAGATTGTCCAAGGAACCAAGAAAGGCACGGTAAGCTGCGAGAAATTTAACTTGCCGGAAACCCCTCAGGCCAGGAAGACCCTCGTTTCAAATCTCGCCCCCCCTTCTCCCTCCTTCTAATTAGACAAGTTCTCGGATGGCGTTAAAGCAGCTCTAGTAAAGTGGATTAGCGAATATAATAGAGTGTAATTCTCGCGTGAGTCAGCTCTCGCGAGCTAAGAAAGTGATTAAATGCTTTTTAATAGCAAATAAGCAGACTTGACAAGACCTTTATAGACTGTAAATGGTCGCAAGGACGCTTTGTCTTTCCAAGTTTAATAGGCAGTGGAATCAATAAATTTCTGTCTTTCTATGTGGAGAAATGAAATAGATTGAAATACTTTTAATATGATGATATATCAGAGGTACTTATTGAATGGTCCAGCAACTAAATCTGCCCTCGTATGTGTTTTCTTCATCTTTCACTGAATAAAGTTTTGCTTTTGCTGAAAGTGCCATCCCAGCAGATGTTTTCTTATTAGAAAACTTCGTAATCTTGAAATAAATAAATTTATAAAAGAGTAAAGCTGTTCATTTTAAATCTGATATTCATACATCTAAGATACGAAAGGGATATTCAAATAATCAGACCTCACGAACTTTGAAAATGATTCTAGATTAAAAAACACGAATCTTCCCACTTTCCTCTCTTTCGAACCTTTCAGATACTAAACTATCAACTGCGCAAAATTTAATTTAGGGGGGAAGCTTATCTATATACCAACTCCTCGACGCAAAAGCACAATAGCCGTAAAATGTTTTATGGATTCCCAAATTCCATAAAACACCATTAAAATTCTGATTTATAGCTAATGGAACTAATAATTACAAGAAAAATGTAGACTATTATTTTTCAATTCAACTTAAAAAAAAATCTGTAAATTTATTTTCAACGATTGTAACACTAATCATAACTATTGCTGGATCATCCATAATAACACTCCATTCAAACAATTAACATCCAAAACATTAACTGCTATGACTTTGAAAACTTATATACCTCACTTCCTCTAGAAGAAATCTATACCAGTCTACTTGATCTGCTAAACTCTTCCCTGATATGCTCCCAATTATGACTCTTAACAAATGGAAAACCTACCTAAAAGGCACACTTTTTCATAACTACATCAGGTTTCAAAATCAACTTTTTAAACAAATCAGAGGTTTGCTAATGGGCTTACATTCCAGCACCTCGATCTGTAATATCTTCTTATTTATCAAAGAATTTAACTTCCAAAAAAATCTACAACCACAAGAGTTAAATTACTACAAGCACACCTACAGATATATTGATGACCTTATTACAATTGATAATTAAGTGTAACTAATAATTCACAAAATAGCATAGACTATCTAGATCTTCAAATCATTAACTACAAAAAAATTTTACTTTTTGACAAAACAAGACACTTCAATTTCAATACTAACAAATTGATAAATTGGAATTCCAACATATCCAAAAAAGTAATTAACAATACAATAATAAATCAAATACAGCGAATTAAAATTATCTGCACAGATACAATAGATTTACGACGCGAAATTTTACTCCTTATTAAAATTCTCAAAAATAATCTAATACCCATTCAATTTATTAACTATTGCCTTAAAAGAGCAAGCGTTAAATACTCACTCTAAATCATTTAACTGATAGGGATATGATAATTTGTTCCTAAACCTGAGAAGGCGGTATAAGTTGGATGACTATCAGTTGAAGGATTTGTATATAGTGTAATTAATCAGTTGTATATATTGTAAAAAGCTAATTGTCTTCAGACTTATGCTGTTCCTAAAAAAATGGGCCTATTTCCTAATCTTTATAGCTCTTAGACAGTGAAAATTTCTTTTTTCCTTTCTTAAATTCTTAATCATTTCGACACGACAATTAGCCAGAAATTAATTAATTTCCATTCACTAGTATTTTCAAAAAAATCTTAACAGACAGTTTCACTCAAGTAAGAACTCCACATAATACATCCCTCAAGAATTCCGAAGTCCCACCGTCTACCACCCAATCTCTACTATAAATTACTTCACCCAAGTCTTACCGACTGATATTCAAAGCCTCCGCTGCCGCTAAGAATTTTTTCGGACACCCTACACTTCTGAGTCAGACGCGAAGAGAACACTTTGCGACTTCCCACTAGAAAGAATGTAATACTTTAATTAATACTTAATTAATAGAAAGAACTTAACTAATACTTTTTCTGGCCTTTATATCTTCATGTACATTCACTGTTCTTCTTATATTTTTTATTTTTATATTATTTTTGATTTGTTTTTACAAAGTTTGCATTATTTATCTTATTTTGTAATCTTCTATGTTTATTTCAACTTTATACTTTGAATTCTATTTCATAATGACAATTTCCAATGTTTAATTTTTACAAATAATATAGAACTCAAATGCATAAACACGGGGGTGTCGGGGGACGGTTACTCGAGTTTTTTCGGAATTCCCTACAGAAATTGCTTTTCACTCAAAATTGAATTGGCTAAAATGCTTCATAGGAATAAGTTCTTTGAGTATCAGCATTGGTTCATAATCCCTTCTATTCGCGGAAATATTTGGCCTGACTAGAATTGCCGGTTTGGCTTAACCTTATTACTCGAGTAAAGACGAAACACCTTCGTATTTACGTATTTATTTATTAATTATTGTTCATTGAACGGGAGTTGGTTTGTTCCGCTTGAAAAGTCAACTAATTTCCGATCAATGACAATGATTACTTGCATTTAATTTAATTTTTCCTTTTACAATTGAAATTTTGTTCTTCATGATGATTTAATTCCAGTCCCCGTTAAAACATTATTAACATTTTACTTTCAAGTTACTTCAAAACATCTTTCGAAATATAATTCACTCTTTTAAAATAATTCTACTTAAATTTAACTTAGGAGATAATATAATCAATTAATCAATATTGTTTAGGAAATAAATAATTATATATATATATATCAGTTGTGGCATATGTAAAAATAATAGATTAATGGCATACATATAAATTTTATACATATATATGTGATATTTTAATGCGTAGTCGTCATGGCTAAGGGTGAAGGCATACAGACGAAGCTAACAAAACTGAATTTTAAGAACCAGAATCTTTATTTTTACACATATCAAATCCTTTCTTTGGCAGACAAGTTACTTTTCAATCATAGTTGAATACAATAGTTTTTATGTACACTCGTTTTAAAAATACGATGTAAGCATTTTACAAAAGCATAAGCAGCGCAGACATGTTTGCTTGGCAGAAGTTAGGAAAAGGAATGACATAATTGCTCGGAAAGCAGTATTTATACTAAACTAACTACCAATAAGTATTTGGACACCTATGCAAATGACGATATCTGCGATCCTAAGGTACGTCACGGATTCCGCCGGTATATATCGTGTAGGAAACAGCATCGGCTTTAGTCGCATGCAAGATGCCTCGCAGTTCGGAGCTCTCTGATTTCGAGAAAGGTATAATTATCGGGTATCACAAATGTGGCCTATCCTTAAGGGACATATCTAGCGATCTGAAGTACCCAAAATCGACAGTGGCCTATGTGATTAAGAAGGTGAGCGGTGATTGTCGGAATGTGCCCCGATTCGGCAGACCAACGAAACTGGGAGATAGAGACCGACGAGTGCTGTCCTGAGAAATTCGGAAAAACCGCACCCAACCGATGGCCCTCATCCGCGAGGAGTTTCAACAGGCATCCGGGAGTATTGTTTCGATGAATACCATCCGTAAGGAAGCACATCTGCTTGGTTTTCATGGTCGTGCTGCTACCCATAAGCCTTTGATCACAAAGTCCAACCGCGCTGCTCGGTTAATGTGGCACATCGAAATTGGACCGTAGATCAGTGGAAACGGGTTCTTTGGAGTGACGAATCAAGGTTCACCCTTTACCGTTCGGATGGCAGGGTCTGGGTCTGGCGTCTACCTGGAGAACGTCGTCTCCTGCCAGAATGCATTGTGCCAACAGTCGAGTTCAGCGGAGGTGGAATTATGGTCTGGGGGTGTTTTTTCTGGTATGGGCTGGTACCCTTGGTCCCCATTCATGGTAAGCTCAACTCCGATTCCTACTGCACTATTTTGGATGACAATAGGCTTCCTACGTTTTGACAGTTTTACGGGTTGGACCCCTGTTACTTTCAGGACGACAATGCCAGTTGTCATGTTTCGACGTTAACCAAGGCTTGGTATGGTGCCAATGGAGTTCATCAAATGGACTGGCCTGCCCAGAGTCCAGACCTGAACCCTATCGAGAACCTCTGGGACGAGTTCCATCGCCGAATTCAGGGGTGCACTACCCGTGCAAAATCGGTGAAGGAACTTCTATGTCTTCTCCAAGCCGAGTGGAAGAAAATACCACTAGCTGTCATACAAAGACTTGTGTAAAGTATGCCCCGGAGGGTCCACGCTGTAATTACCTCTCGTGGAGGCTCTACCAACTATTGATTTTGAATAAAGTTAGTTTTTCTTTTCTATCACAGGTGTCCAAATACTTATTGCTAGTCAGTGTATGTAGGTGCATAAGTACAGGTAAACTGCGATTGGTTAATTTTCGGTTTTAATTACCTTTTTCACGCAGGGTTATGTAACATGGAAAGATTTCGAATTTGGGAGAACAGATGAACTTAGAAGGAGAACATAAAATTTAGAATAGTCAATTTTGAGGTTACCAATTATTTCTTAACGTTGCCATCGTATTTTATTGTATCTTACATATATATGTAATCAATCAATCAGATATCGGGTTTGAGAGAAGATACTAATCTTAATTTGTAGCGTAGCTTAAATTAGTTTTCTTGGCTAGATAAACATTAACAAATCTTCTTAGATGGTAGAATGGGTTTAACTTTCAAATTTACAATTTTAGGTAAACAATTCTAATTTAATTATAGAAACTCTATTTATTAAATCTAAAAACTCGATTTGTTAAGCTGTTTTAAATTCACACAAATATTATTGTAATATATCTGGCTTTCTAGGCTTTCCATTTTTAATCAGTAAGGTGACTTTAAAGTCATTTAATTTTCTTACAAATTCCATATTTTAATATTACAAACGTTTAAACATTTATTTTATTTTTCATTTACTCTAACCCATATACTTTGGAATATATTTAATTTATAATTATTATTTAATTTATAATACACATTTAAAATGTTAATAATTGATAATTATCACCATCTGCAGCATTTTCATGATTCATGAAAAAAATTTTGAACTCCCTTATATTCATACCTTGGGATTTTTAATTTACTCTTCATCCATTTCTTTTTAAAACCCACTTCATGTATTTGTTTTTATTGTACGTATTGTCGTATTGTATTCAAATTTCCATGCATGTAGAATTTGTATATTGTATTATTCATGCTATACTTATTTCATGTTCGTACTTATTGTGTATACACGCTATACTTATTGTATATTGTATGACACATGCTATAATATCTAAATGATAATTTTCATAAACTTTTGCATCATAACTATAATTAACCGAAGATGTTTCTAACGCCTTGTTACAAATTAATCTTCAATAGGCAGCTTATTTTGCAATCTAGTTTCAGACTTCAATGACATTATTTGTAAAGTAAAATGGCCGCTAAATCACGCTAAATTAAAACGCGGCAATCCTTTCTGCATTTAACAACAATAACAATAATAATAATAATAAGAGCATTTTTGTCCCTTGGTAGAATAACTTTCTTCCTTGAAGAAACCCTGTATCAGTCTCTCTGAAAATGCAACTTTAATACCAATGTTAGACTAAAGGCTGAATTTCGCCTAATTTTAAATTTATAGCTTATTTTTCATATATTAGGATGTTATTTAAAATTATTTAAAATTTTAAAGGTCACGATTAAGATATATAATAAATTCTGTTTCGTTTAAACTTTTACACTTTTTGAAATTTAATTGGAAATATGTAATACCAATCAATATATGCATAATTTTTCTTTGGGATATTACTTCCACTATCTGTCTGGAAGTAAATTAAAATAATCTTGCAACATTTCAACCGAATGTTTATGAAACTTTTTTTTTTCATTTCCAAACCCAGGAGAACCATCCATTACACAATAACGTTGAAAATATCGCCAGAGCGAAATGAGAAAATGGAATTTCAAACGTTAATAGCGTCACATTAAATATCGGCTTAGAATCAATAAGAGGATTAATGATTAAATATATACGGAAATACGCAGAACGATATATTTCTTAATGTTTATGAGGAGAAGGAGCAGAACTAGAATGTGCGGTACATCCTGCTTCCAGAAATGACGCCACAGCTCGTAATGAAAAGAAGAACAGGAAGAGGAATAATTCGGTTCGGATAATTCAGGTAGGTTCAGTAAAGGAGATTAAATTACGCCGCGTTTGATTGCTGTAATTAATCCTTTGTCAAACGTATTCCTCAGAATAGATTGGGAGGAGGAAGGTTGTCGGGATAGTGGAACAGAAATGGAAAGACAAGTGCTTGTCGGAAGAATACTGGGATGGAATTTATCAAGGAGCCGACAAGATGTTCACGGATTAAGCTGAATGTGCTTTTTTCTTCTCCATTAGAAATTCTAAAGCATTCTTTATGATTCTGAAAGTTACGGAAGACGGTATAAAATAAAGGTATATATAATATGAAAGGAAATAAAACTGTGCAGTAGGGAATGCTTTGAAAATGGGCAAAAGTGGGAGAAGAAGGTAATACAAATTATACTGATCCTAACAGGTAAACTATACCTTAACTCACTTAAAACTATACCTTACAACTTCATCCATTCTAAGTTCAACAGAACTTCAGACTATAGTGTACAGAAGTCGAAGAGAATACTTTCATCTGACAACGAAATCTATTAAAAATTAATTATAGTATTTTTGGATAAGTAGAAACTCTTTAACGTGATTGTTCGAAATATTCGACAAGTAACATTTTTTTTTTTTTTTTTTTTTTTGAATGATGGAATGATTTTTTATTTTTTTTCGTTTCCTTTCATATAAATTGAAGTTTTTATGATTTTTAAAATAACGAAGAACATGGCGCAAACTTTCTTCGTAGAGTTTTTATAACTTCTTTTGGGTAAGTTGACTTTGGATTGCTTCTCCTCAACATATAACGGCTGTCCATAGAAATTATATGCAGCGGTTAGCAAATTATCGCTTAGTATTGCCTAGTTATTCATACGCAAGATAAAATTCGAATGTAAAATCTATCTAACTTAAATTTTATTAACCGCCACCTTTGAGTACAACAACTAAAAGGAAGACAAAACAAACAATTTTTGAAATTTTCGCTAGTTAATTCGTTCATTAATTCGCTAGTTAATTCGTTCATTAATTCGCTAGTTAATTCATTCGTTTTCGTTAGTTAAAGCAAAAAGAAATTTTTAATCCCCAATTGAATTATTTCTTACACTGAAATATAATATTTTTCTTTGGAACGATATAAAATGCGAAAAGAAAATGGCATTTTCTAATATACAGAGAAAATTTCAATCACTGAAAATAAATGTTTGAGTTTCTGTGATTTAATTTAAATTTTATTAACTGTATTTATAATGTCTAGAAAGCTTATGTAAGTTTCTACAGTAGCTGAAATATCGATTAAACTCATATAAACAAAAATTTCGAATAAGAATATTTTTTGTGGGAGGGCGGTCATTAAAAGCAAAAACTAAAAAACTAAAAGTATGTTCAAACTTGAAAATCTGCTTAAAACTATAAAAATTTTTAGATCTGCTAAAAAACAAGCGTTTAAAACTTCAATAAAAATTTTAAGAGATTATTTAAAAATATTGTGTTACTTTTACATAATGATTATTACATTAATTATTTTAGATAACTGAAAATAGTAATATTAAAGATGCAAATCAGTGTACACTAATTGCAAATCAGTGTACAGAAATATGCATTAAGAAAGAAATATACAAAAAAAAAAAAAAAAAAAAAAAATACAAACAATTTTCCAGAACCAGCCAGATGATTTTCATGTTTAAACTCATGTTATTGCCTAATATAGGTAACGAAACTTCATACATCTAATCATTATAACAGAAATAAGATGCAAGCTAATGAAGAACTGATATTTGTTATTCTGAAGAAGTGTGCTTGATGTAATGCGATTCCGTTAAACAAGCCTAATAAAACATGACCGTCATTTTAAATTGAAATCACGATTAATTAATTAAATGTAAGTCGCAGCTACGAGTGCAACTCTTAAACTAGTAATTGTTTCCCTCTAAATCACTCTTTTGTCGAGATTAAATGTTTTCTGTTTACAAGTTGCGTTCCCTATTTTGCAATCCCGAATAAAAGTATGCTGAATTGAAAGAAGAACACTAATACAGTAAAATTAAGCGTTAATTAAGATTGCTCATTCTTCATCGCTGTATACCAAGGACTGACTTGCAAAAAGGATTGATGGTCATTAAAGTGAATCATTAATTAATTAATCATTAGATAATGGCTCAATATTCCATCATCTTTTTATTTCTTTCAAAGTTTTACGTTAGATTGCCGGAATGCATATATCATGAATGCCCAAAATACTTACAACTGAGTATTTTGATTCAGTTGTAGAAACTTTCCAGAAAAATGTCAAATTTTATCAATTATAAAATTCTCTTAAATTTCTAGTTCTTTTTGAGAACCTAGACGCCTAGACGGGAAAGGGATCAGTTACTCTGACTGCCGTACCAAAGAGGACAGGCTCGAATTCCGGAGAAAGCATGGATGCAAATTGTCTCTCCCTTCATAGGAGGCAACGGAGGTCCACTCATTAGTTGCCTCCATAATAGAGTGACCAATTCTTTCGGCTTTAGAAATAGCTAATGCCTATAATGGTTAGCTGGCCATTGGTTGGCGGTTAGTTTATGAGGAATTCTTTTGTGTGATTGCTTCATGATTGGAATAACGCTAACTTGAAGTGATTTTATTTAATTTGGTAACTGGTTGAGTTTCATAAAAGTGCCATTGCGCAAAAGACAGTGTTTTATATTACATTCAGGTCATATGAGTCTACTGAATTTAAAAATTTTGCGTCAGATTTAACAGTCTAATGATATGAATGCGCTAATTTAGATCTCACAATTATTGGTTTGATATGGATGTCATATGAAATTGATCTAATAAAGATTTAATTGCATTGACAAACACTTGAAATTTAAAACTTCATTCTAAGCTAAAATATTTAGAATAGTGATATATTACTTTTCAATACAGTAGCTACAAATTGTAATTATGTTCTAAAAGTTTGTACAAAAATTCAAAGAACAAACCAAATTTTTCAGGATAAGCAACTGATGAAAATTAAATGAATTTATATATTCTATAATCATTTCTATATTCTATATCTGTTTGCAATCATTTGCCTCGTTCATGTGTATGTCTTCATTATTTAGGAATTAAAAACGAAACACTAATCTTTGAGTCATAAAATACAAAGTGACCCACATAAACGTATACTTAGATCGAGTTTTAGTATACCTCTGTTTTATTAGTCTATATGTAATACAAATGCACATGTAATGTGCTACATGGCATGTGTAATTGCAGCAGGTATTAGAACTGCAGTCTCCTGTAGCTCGTAAATACACATTTTTTTTAGCAAAGTCTGATTTCACTTCTTAGTAAATTTAAGTATTACGGCCTTAATTAGTGGTGTGATGTGAAATTTAGCTTGAAATTTTTGTTGACAAATTTTGAAGGATGTACACTTTATGACAAAAACTCTTTGCTTTATTATTAACATCTTCTTCATGCACAGTACATTTTCAGAAACTTGCTGACGAGTGCCCGCTGCCCTGAAAAAAATAGAAAAAAGGTAAAAAAGATAATCGCCAACAAAATTTACTTAAGCGCTGTTACCTTAGAATTAAAAAAACACAGAATTATGAAAAACAGGCTGCCCCTAACAATATCAGCGCAAATCAAATAATTTGACTCCATTCTGGTATACCTTTATTTAGAACACTCTGTCTTATTAAGTATTTATAGTGTTGTAAGAATTTATTATCTAAAATTGCACTGTATGCTATTGTACTGTTTTATTTATGAAAAGCAATTAAATGTAAAAAAATTAATGATTATAAAGTAAATTATTATTTGCAAATATCTTTTTCTGAATGTATTAATATGCAAATATGCCTTCAGAAATTCTTATGAAGAAATGCAATGAAGTTAGCTTCGCATTTTTTTAGTTGCCAAACAAAAGTGCACAAAGCAACAATCGATTACAATTTATGAAAATTGTCACATTCTGTTTTTTTTTTTTTTAATTGTTCCTCAAATAAAGAAATTAAAAAAAATGCTAGTGACTCATTTTGATTTATTAGTTTGATTATTTTGATTTATTCATTTGATTATTAAAGACTAGACTATTAGTTAATTGACTAATAGTCCAGTCTTTTATTTAAACTATATGATACGATAGTATATAAGTTTATTTAATTTTTCATGAATGAAAGGGATTGTAAGTAGATCTAAAGCTGAAAAATTTGACATGCTTTATGTGGCACGCGGAATACTCACGAAAATTGAGAAGCATACATACATATATGCAGATTTTTTCATTATTTAATCTCTTTAAAAATAGTACAGTAGTTTAAAAATAGTACATATTTAATGGCAACAATTTGAAAAGTGACACAGTCACTTATAGTAATTTAAAGCAAAATCCCGTTTCGAAAATAATAGCGCATTTTGGCTAACTCCGTCTTGGGCTAAAAGAAAAAGAGAAAAAGTAGGGAAAAATATTATTTTCATGTATTACTAGTTACCAGAAATCAACCAAAATTTGTAAGGAACGTATAGAAACATTTCTAAATATAGCCCGAATGTTGAATTTGTAATGTAAATTTATAAGGTATAACTTTCATGTTAGAAAGACATGAATTTAAAAGCAGCAATTTTAAAAGCAGAAACGCTAAAATATGAAGTTTTGTATTTCAAAGAATTCATTTTAATATCCTTCCAAATGACTCCCTTTCTTCGAATAAAAGTTGTTTTTAATCACATAATTTTTGGTAACCTTTTCAATTTTTTTTTTAATTTTATGAACCAGGTTTTATCCCTAAGAGATCTAAGTTTTATCCCTAAGTAGGGTAATAAACAACTTAGTAATTATGATTTTCTTCGTGGAAATTTCGTTGTTTAGAAATCAAAATTCTACTTTAAATTACGAATTCTGTCTTTGCAACTTGAACTCATTATACCATCCCATCAATAATAAAGATATATAAATAATTAACAATTTAGTAATATGAAATGAATCAAGAAAATTTCAAGTATGAAAAAAGTAAAAAGGAAAAGATAAACGAGTTTGGATAGTTTGTTTTTATCTCTAACAAATTGGAGAACTACTCTTTTAGTCCCCTATTGTTTGTTTCTGTCCCCTTCTCCCTCTTTGATTCTGTATTCTTTTTTCCTTCCCCTTCCTGTCATATGGGTTGTATAACACAACCCACATGACAAGGTGTAAAGGTAAAAACAATATCCTTTAATATGTAATAAATTTTTAAAACAATGGGCGGTTTATATATCCTTGAAGGCATTCTCATAAATATATTTCGATTATTATAAAAATTGATATATATGAGTAAAGTGACTTGATTTAATCAGGGTAGTTTTTATTTTAAATACTGTGCTCTGATTTCAAACATGGATTTTTGAAATTGCTTTTTTCTTCCTTGTATGAAGGAAGTATTGTAATCGCGAAAAATTTCGGATATCATATTTCGACGGAAATATTCATTTTGACCGTTCCGAATCGGTTTGGACGATTTTTCTAGCGTGACATCTGTACGTGCGTAGAGAACTCTTTTTCAAAACGAATTGTAAAAGGGATTCAAAAGGAAATATTTCGGTGATGTCTCTACTGATCTACATATGTATGTATCTCGCATAGCTCAAAACGAATAGCCTTAGAACTTTTAAATTTCATTATCTCTCTCTCTCTCTCTCTATTATATATATATATATTATATAGATGTATATATATTATATATATATATATATATATATGAGTTCTATATAAGTCCTACAATCATGGCCATACTCGTACTAGCACGGCCTTTATCTAAAAACTAAAACTATTGCAATTTTTTTTTTAATTTTTTAAATCAAAAATTCAAAATAATATGTTAATACCTGAATAAATATGTTGCAGGAAACATATAAAAGTTATTTTTGTGTGGATGTTTTAAATGGGAATATTTCTCTTAATATTATATTTGACATTTGACAACTGACGTCAGTTAAATTATAGGCCATTATGCATTATAAAATTTTACGCTACTAAAATTTCTATAAACTTATTTTGGTATGTAGTTGTTTACCCTTTGCCATGGATGCAAATGCGCTCATTTAAATACAGTGCACCTTCTCTGAGACGACCAGCCGTGGTACCAGATGATTTTACGCTCAATACTGATGTTAATTTATGTTCTCGGAAGTAATGGGTATTTTTATGCAATGATCACAAGAAGTTCTGTTATGCATGAGCTATTCCACGAGTATCGAAATCGGTATAAGAATACAATTCAAACATTTACTTGTTTTACACAGCAACAGGATATACAATGTCATTTATTTTAACAATACAATTTCCTTCAGCTTCTTATTTTCTAAACACATTTCTCAAATATGCTGGATTATCTGTGCACAATACTTCCAGTTTGCATTACTTCTTGGAACATTAGCTACAATAGTTTCCTGCAATGATACCATGAATTACATGTTCCGAGGTTTATTTAGATAGCTCCCAGTAAACATAGTCACATATTTTTAAGTCGAGTATATTCCAGCCATAGAACGTCTTTATCGTGAGAAATCACACGAGCAGGAAACATAGTCATAGAATGTTTTGACAGTATGATTTTTGCTTTACCTTGCAGAAACCTTGGTCTCCGCAAATTATCAGTTTTACCTACTTTTGCTATTGAAAATCGTCAGATTTTGTGAGGAACTCAAAAAAATGTGTTGTCAAAAGTGAAAAAGGAATAACACAATTACTATAAATCGAGGATGGGCAAAGGCCGTTTCGTGGCCGGAGTGGGACCCTTTTAATTATTTAATCTGGCCCGTTATGAAATCCTGTGTAATGATATTCCCATCTCTTTTGCACACGATTCTGTGCGCAAACTACCGAAACAAGCACACCCCAGCGACTTATCCGCTCAACCAATAGAAATGAAATTTCATATATTGTTATTTGTAGATATCCGCTTGATATTGTGATTATTTAAAGAAATAGAGCTTTGATGGTTACAGTTACAGGAAAAAGATTTCGAAATTTTTGAAGAGCAACATAATTTTTTTTAAAGCACAAATTGATCAGAGCATTGTAAAAACATCGTGCGTTGGAACGATATACGATTAACTAAAACTGCCAGCCTAAAGCATTTGCAAGCAAGAGTATTGTAAAGAACCAATGACAACACAAGAAAAGGGACAGGAAAAAAAATCTTCTGTTGGAATTACAAGTTTTCTATGTGCCCGCTTTTGCAGATGACAACATTGGAAGACTGTTGATAACAATGATAAATATAACATGGCAGAATGAATCTTTATAACTTCACGTTTTTGTGGCATCTTTCAATTCTGACAAATGTTGTGAATTTGCTGCATATACCTTAGATTTGAAATAACACTAGAACGAGAAATCCATCGGAGTGAGGTTGGGGGCATCACTGTAGCCATAAAACTTCAAAATTACAGGAGAAGACACCGAAGTGCTGTTTCAGGACTTGCCAAACACATGTAGCGACGCGTGAAAAGCAACATGTTGCATCCATACGCTGCCATTACGACATTTCGCTGCTGCAATTCTGGAATTACGTAATCCTGCAACATTGTTGTATATCGGGCTATTGTGATGGAGCGCATTTTCATTCATGTGGAAGTGGAGTTTTCGAAGAAATAGGGACTGAAAACGAATGTACTTGTGACGCCACACACAGTCACAGTCACTTTAGCTTCGTGTAAGGGCACTGGTGCTAGTGGCGCTAATTTCCGTCATCCCAATTCTTGCAGTTTAAGTTTATATTTAAGGAGAAATGCATCTTATCTGTCCAATAATATTCGCAGCGGCCACCTGCTATTTTCATCTTATCTGATAAGGAATGATGATGATCTCTTTTTTACCGATGTTTTATGTGTGTTAACCTAATTTGAATAAATACTAATGAACACTCGAGATTTCACGCCTCAGATTAAGTATACGTTAGCTAATAATTGTTTTTTGAACACAGTGTTTGTAATAAAAATATAATATTTGCAAAATTATAATTAGTAAAAGTATTTGATTTATCATCTATGCCTTTTTTTTACTTCATTTTCCTTGAAATTTACGTGTGTGTTTTATATTTCTTTGACTGATCCACATGCAGTGTCGTCGTTACACCGTGTGAGGCTTATGTAAATTAAAATTTAATAAAATATGAAATTAAGTGCATAAGAGGCTATTTTAAATTGTATTTTTTTTTTTTTAAGAAATTTACGCCGCGAAAAATGTTTTCCTCCGCGTTCCCTAGTCGTGACCTGGCAAACAATAGGTACTTCTCAAAAGACCGTCACATAGTCACCATCTCACTTTGCGGTCTGCATGGCCCATAGTTAAAAAAAAAAAAAAAAAAAAAAAGACCCTAAAAAAGACCCTTTTGGTTCATGGTTAAAAGTATTTTCCCACCTCTGTTATAGACAATAACACTTATAATAACGATATTATAAATAACGCTCTATTTTAAAACGGGGTCCATAGGTTTGGTTTTCAATTTCGGATTCACTCATTCATCCTTAAAAAAAT